AAGAAGAAGAAGAAGAAGAAGAAGAAGAAGAAGAAGAAGAAGAAGAAGAAGAAAAGTAACAAAGTTATTTGTTTAAACTCTCCTCCTCTTCCGTAATTTCTCCTCTTCCTGGGCAATGTTTATGAATAGTCAAACAGCCCAGGACAAGCAGAGTCCTATGTGGGTGAGAAGGCAATACACAGCAATGCAGAGCAACAAGCTAATACACAGCAACAGCGTCTTCTGAACCGTGTGTCCTGTCAGTGTGCCGTATACTCGTAGGTGAACAGATAAGCTCTGTCTTCTGATTTCACTGCTTATAACTCTAGGTTGTTTTAACACAATCTTGATCATAATTGTTTTAATGAAAATGTATATTATACCTAAAGATAGCAGGGTAGATTAACTGTCTCCTGAAGTTCCCTGTGAAGGGCTAAGCTTTTCTTAGCCCTTAAGGTATCTAAAACTAACTTCATTCCCTTCTAGAATGAAAAAAAAAAGTTTCTAAAACCTTCCCTTTCTTTCTAAGAAAGCAAGCCTTACATAAATAATAGTTTATACTTATTACAAAGCCAAATATGAAGTACGCCACAGCTGAAACTCACCAATATCTAAAGACCTAATGATGGAAAAAGGCAGAAATATATGTAAATTATCTGATTTGCATGACCGTAGGGAAGGGTAGCTTAGGCATGTGGGAAGTACATCATCCACTGGAAATCCTGCATTTGAACATTTTTCTTTCAGATATATTATCTTGAAAGCATATTTATTATAGATGAATACTGAAAGCACTTTGGATGTGACAGACTATATAAGAGTAGTATAAATCCCATAAAGTGAGGTTGACTTCAAGGTATTCTTTTATGCATAATAATCTGCATCACATAAGCTACATCATTATATAAAATGGCCTAAGTATCAATATTTTTCCATGAACTGAATGAGCCTGATTTGAATTCAGCTCCCCTTTTGTAGCGCTTTCATACAACTTAAAAGTGAACAGTGAGGGGCTGCAGAGACAATGCAATTGGTAGCTTACTTGGGGAGCCAGCAGGGGGACTGGAGTTTGAGCCTCAGCCCTTGGGTAAACCTGGTAATTCACTGTCAGCACTGAGGAGGCTCAGACAGATGGCTAACTGAGCCAGCCAGCGAGCTTAATCTGCAAGCCCAGCATCTTAGTGAGAGAGCCTGTCTCAAAGAACATGGTGGAGGGGTCCCGAGAAATGACACCTGAGGTTAATTTCCGACCTCCAAATGTACACGTATGCATGCGTGTGTAGTCATCCCCACAGGAGAAGGCATGTACTATATACATCAGCACATGCTATATACACACTTCCAGAAAATGACTGGTCATCGGTTTGATTGGTGAGCAATAGGAAATCTGTCCATTACATTCTGTCATATTAGAGCAGCAATACAGCCCCCTGGTTTCAGGGTACTGGGATCACATAAATGAGGCTAGACACCGAGAAAGCTATTTGCCTACATTGCCTAAAATGGCTGGCATTATTAAATTAGCAAAGCAGGAGAAAGAGTTAGGTATGAAAAGAAGCAGTTTCAAAATGTGGGAGAAATTCAGTATTAATTTCAACATTAATTTGTGTCCCTTGCTCAGATGTGAATTTCATGAAAAACAAAATAATCCAGAATCATCATGAATTGAGTTCTCCTTTTTTTCTCAGCTATTGTTTTTAATACTGACAAACTAGATAGGAGCTTGAAAAAACAGGCCCCATACCTCTGAGAAGAGCCCAAAGGTTTGGGGGCGGGCTTCAGTGGTCATGCCTCATGACAGCCCCAATCTTTGCATACATGCCTCAGAGGAGTAAAAAAATCAAGCTTCTTTCTTGTTGGGAGAAGGTGAGATGAGGCAATTTCATGCTATGTGTATGCTAGTTGTAAAAAGAAAAAAAAAAAAGAAAAAGAAAAAGGAGTGCTTACAAGAAAAAAAAAAAAAAGTAGATTCCAACCAGATGTTCCTCAAATCTTCCTCAGCTGCTGCCGAAGCTTCACAGTCACCGAATACTTTATCTTCTCGTCTATCTTCTTCTAATTGAGAAATTGGTGATCCATGCAGTTCGACAGGCAGGCTGCTGCAAAAGCCTTCCTGCCAATGCCTTTCAGCCCTGCTCTTCTGCACACAAAAACTCCCAGTGTCTGTATGGGGACTGAGAAAAAAAGCACAAGCCATCTCATTCAGCAGGTGTTGTGGGTTGAAAGAGGAGGTCAGAAAGCAATCCTTCAAAGGACAGCCTCTGTCACCTGCAAGTGTAATACATTGCCATTAGGGAAGTGCCTACAAAGCACTAATGAGCCATGCACACTGAAATCTAGATGTCAGACAAAACAGAAGAAAATTCACCCAGTAACCAACTGGGGATGCCACACCAAGACATGTCCAACCATTCTCGCTTTGATTTCATCTGCCATGAAATCCTGTCCCTACAAACGCATAGCTCACTCTGTCTTCTTAAAGAAAAATAATAAGTCCAAACATGTCTTAGGACATCTGTTTAAAGAGTTGTCTATCTCTTTCTTTCTTATCCTGCAATACTTGTTAGTCATGACTTTAAAATTGTAAGAAAGCCCCACCTATTTATTAGAACATAATTAGAAACTTGGGGAGACACACAGTTGACCTGTACCTTTGGATTTTGGAAATAAAACCTTATACAGATAATAGGGATCTATAACATTAAATAACAGTCATACTTTTTTATTGAAAATGGATTTTTCTCTTATATATGTCCTGATTACAGTT